TGACTGTCCTCTTCTCCAGAGCCCCAGCAGAACCTTTAAGGATTTGGGTGTGTTGAAGTGAATGAAAAGACTTTTCAACTTTACAAAAGTTGGCAGAGGCAGCACAATCATGGCACTGCCCGGCTGCCCAGAGGGTCCCCCTCCCATGAACACTTATCCTGCTCCTGGAAGAGGCCCCTTTTCCCTACTAACCCCAAGTCCAGAAAGTGGGGCAGGAAAACTTCTCTGAGCTCAACCCCTCATTATAGCCAAGAGTGGACAAGGGACTTGTCCAAGGTCACATATCACACAGAGCAAAGCCAGGACCAGACCGTCTCCTGATTCCCACTGTAGATGCCTATGTGTCCCTCTCCCCATGTCATAGAAGCTATGTGTTCCTTTTGAACATATTATTCCAGAGAGTCTTCAGGGAGCCCACAGTGGGCCAGGTGACCTCTATATCCCCCTAAATGCAATAGGTTTGTGGTAAGAATGTGATGTGTTAGCATATAAAGCCCCTAGGACAGTCCCCAGCACATACAGGCCAGCAGCACTAACTAGCTGGCCTCCCTCCCTGAACCCCAGCTTGGGAACATCTTTTTTTTTGTTGTTTGGGAGATTGATTCCAGGGGTACTTAACCACTGAGCCACATCCCCAGCCCTTATTTTGTATTTTACTTAGAGACAGAGGCTCACTGAGTTGCTTAGGGCCTCACTAAGTTGCTGAGGCTGGCTTTGAACTTGCCATCCTCCTGCCTCAGCCTCCCAAGCTGCTGGGATTATAGGCATGCACCACCATGCCCAGAGCTTGGGAGCATCTTAACCAACATTTGTAAATCCTTGCACACAGCCTATGTACAAGTGGCCAGATGCTTACTCTCCCAGACTCTGTTCTAAACACCAGTTAGTTCATTGGATCTTGACACTAGAATCAACCCCATTTTATAAATTAAAACTGAGGCACAGAATGATTTAAGTGACTTGCCTGTGTTCAAATTGCAAGGAAACAATGAACCCAGGATTGAAACCCTGACCGTCTGGTTCCAGTGCTGTGCTGTTATAGTGTAATTCCAAATCAAGGCCTCCTTGCCCTTGGCATTCACAAAGGTCTCCAAAAATACCTCAGTTTGCAACTTCGGTGAATAAACCCAGTTGCTTTAATACCCCCTCCAAGTGAATTTTACATGCCGTGTGGTCTGTTTTAGCAGCTCTATTCAGTAGAACTGTCTGCAGTGATGGAAAATGTTCTACAATCCATGCGTCTCTAAGGTAGCCACTGGTCACTAATCACATGTGGCTTTTGAGCAAGTGAGAAAATGTCACTAGTATGACTATGATTCTAAATAAATAAACCTAAATAGCCATATGTAGTTAGTTATATTAGACAGCACAAATTTAGACCTTTGCAAATACCTTCCAAATTGGTTGAGGATCCATTTAGTTGATTTACCTGATGGCCACCCAGACTAGTACCCAGCCCAGACAGTTCTGTTGCATGCAGTTAATAAGGAAGGACTGACCCAGAGTGCACAACGATGGCCCGAGGTCACACAGCTGCTCCATTGATGAGATCCATCCTTTCCTCCACATGATGCTCCATCAGCTGGAATTCTCTCCTCCTGGAGCCCTCGGCTCCCCTCAGGGCCTCTACCTAGTGTTTATGTTTGGCCAACTGACTCCCCAATTTATATTGTGGTCTCCACTTACCAACATATCCTGAGACACGTGTCCTGAGTCAGAAAACCATTCTAGAACCCTCAGAGAGTGCATGTATGAGAGCCCTCTATGCTCATGCCCCCAGCGTCAGATGTGCAGGGTCCTAGATGACCACCTCTGGCGGAAATGGACCCATCTGATGAGACTGAACTAGATGTGAGATGGCAAACAGCATACCCACCTTCACTCTCAATACTGTCCCTGCAGACGTCACTAATCAGTCCTCACTGCTACCACCTCATTCCAGACTTATCTTTACTCCCCAGGCTATTGCATCAGCTTCCTTTCTGGCCTCTGCCTCCATTCCAGATACCCTCCCCAGCATCCATTCTGTACCCTGGGGCTAGAGTAACTTTCCCTAATTTATATTTGGAGGGTTGCTTCTGCTCCTTCCTCCCTGGTGCCCCTGAAAAATGTCTTCCCTTCACTTCCCCTCATTTTCATTTGGGTTTGCTTTTGGCATTTTCCCCCCTTGTAAAATGAATAAATCCCACGATAAAATGGTAAATATCCAGCACACCTACTGCTGACCCCATGCCAATATCCAAGGTGGACATTACTAATTGATGATAGACTTCTTTCACCCTGAGTCGATATAAACTGAAACTGGCTGATCAATATGGACATGCTAGCAAGCTAGAATCTAGTTAACATCCTGCAATAGTCCCCCTTTCTCCTCGCTGTAGGCACAGGGAAATTGAGGACCACAGAGGTGAGAGGAGCTGTTTCTTCAGGGCTCGGAGTGACGTGGGAGGAGGGGTGGGCTGTGGTGAGGCCCACCAACTGTCCAGCCCTGCAGCTGAACGACCAGCAAGCATCCCTTCCCCCACAACGAGCAAAGCTGGACCTGACGCCTGCCTTTGCCTGGACAGGTACGGGAAGCAGAGCTGAGTGACCAGTACGAGGCAGCCTGCGAATCGGCCTGTAGCGAAGCCGAATCGGCAGCGGCGGAGGCTCTAGACTTGCCCCTGCCCAGCTACTTCCGCTCCCGCAGCCACAGCTACCTGCGGGCCATCCAGGCAGGCTGCTCGCAGGAGGAGGACAGTGTCTCCCTGCAGTCCCTCTCCCCTCCGCCCAGCACAGGCAGCCTCAGCAACAGCCGCACGCTTCCAAGTGAGTATGGCGGTGATGGGGGGTGTTGTATTTTGTTTTTTCCGAGAGGAACCACGCCTGGTGGGCCAGTCTGGGGGACTGCGTGGGAGGAAGCCACAGTGGGCTGGCCGCCCCGGGAAGCAGGGTTGGGAGTGAAGGCACAAGGCCTTGCCCGGTGCTTCCTTCCGTCGGATTGGTGAACCGAGCTCAAAGGAAGGGTGGCTGAAGCAGCCTGGGTGGGGTCGGGGGTGCTTAGACTTCTGGCCTTGGTGGCTTCCTGGCTTCCAGCAGCCTGATGCTGGTGGGCAGGCTAACTGAAGTGGGCCTGCTGTTGGGATTAATTAAGGAAGCAAATCTTTGGGAGAGTAGGACCTGCAGAGAGGGCAGATCTGTGTGGAGCCCCCTCATAGGGAGTTTCAGGTCTCTCACACAATCAGGGAGAAGCCACTCTTCCTGATTCTTGTTCTGACTCCTCTGAAGATAACCCATGTGTGATGGGAGGAAGAAGGAACACTGTGTGACCGAGCTAGCCGTGCAATAATAGAAAAGTCAAGACCAAGAAAACACAGCAACATTTCTGGTTTAGTAGAGAGAAGAGAGAGATTTGAGCTTATTCTAGGTAGGCAGTTCTCCTCCCTGAGCCTTAGTTTCCCCATCTATAAATTGGGGATATAAGCCAGACCCCCAGAGAGCTCTTGGGGGGGCTAAAGCTCACTGTCACCCTCCTATCATGAAGGAGCCAGGAGGCTCTACCTAAACACTCTGGTAGGAGTGCGACAAGTGTGACCCTGGTTACTGGGTCTTAGTCAGACTTGCTCCCCGACAATCAGGGCAACGGGGGCTGGATAGTTGTAGAAGAGATGGCCGTTTCATGGGCTCAGTCAGTGTTTGATGTCAGTTAATGAACTTGAATCCCACAGCTATTCTACACACAGGTAACCAATTGACTGGTTAAATGAGCTGATCTCTGTAGGGGGCACAGCAAGAAACAACTTGCCCTGACCATTGCCCTTTAAACCCTTTCGGGTCTTCCTGCCCTGTCCCTGGGTGATACCTGGAGCAAATCCCTGAGCTCTTCTGGTCACTTTAAGAACTTTAGGATCAGTCTCCTTTTCAGTTACTAAGAGTCCTTTCTGATCCAATTTTACAACTTCAGCTTCGTCCAACTCAAATGCCAGCTCCTGTGGCTAGGGCCAGTCATGGGCTGGGAAGCCCCAGTGGAGAGCTGGATGGTGGTCAGTGTCTTCTCTCTGCCTTGTTCACCAGTGCTTATTTCTGGTTCCTCCAGGTGGGATGGGAAGGAAAGGCAGATGGGGCAGGTGTTGTGTGGCGCTGGGACTCTCTGAATGACAGGTGCTGACCCATGGCCTGAAGAGCCTTCATTGAGTCTTCTTTCCTGACGCGGGCAATGCCCTTCACTCTGCTCCTTCGTATTTTCCCTCAGCTTCTCTCTCTGGTCCCCACCTCCCCACTCAGCTTTTTTATTTTATTTATTTATTTATTGGTACTGAGGATTGGACCCAGGGGCACTTTACCACTGAGCCACACCCCCAGCCCTTTTTATTTTTT